CGGGTGTGTTCATTGTGAAACCTGGCCCCACCTTATCATGTGATTTCCTGAGGTCAGATGGCCCAGGGTGTGAGTGGGCGTTAAGGCGTCTGGGTAGGGATCTTAAAACTGGATTATAGATGGCAGAGAGTTGGTGTCGTAAACCCCGCCTCTGTTCAAAGATGTTCGCTCACAGTGGACATAGATGGCTTATTTGACTCCTCTTTCAAACCATCTGTCCTCTCTGTCCAAAATGTGAACATTGGCATCCTCGAAAGAGTGACCTTTGACCTTTAGATGCAGATGGACTGCTGAGTCTTGTCCTGTGGAGGTGGTGTCGCATTAAATCCATCTTTTACGTCACCGGCACAAGACAGACACCAATTATCAGCACCTGAGAAAACATCGTGAACACTTCCTGGCCATCCAGTGAAATTGTTGGGAAGACAACGTTGGAGAAATGCGAACATTTTCTTTGTACTGTATAATCTGCAGATTCTGACAGAAATCTGCAACTATCCTTTGAAGCACCGCTCCTCTAAAACAGCAATAATGATCATTATTAGGTCAAATGTAAATAACAAAATAACTTTATAACTTAAAGCAAAATTGGGAAACGTAAAGTCCGAAACAAGTCTTTATATTAAGGGCCATCAGTCACACAATGCTGTTTGGTCTGGGTCCAAACAGAGCGCGTTGTGTGTGACGTCTTCTTTTGAGCATGCAGAGCTCTCTGAGGGTTCACACTAGAGCGCGTTTGCTGTCACATTTTATTTGTAGTGTGAAGAAGCAGACAAAAAAATCGGACTTGATCAAAGAATCGGAATTGAGCATTAAGACCTGCAGTGTGAACGTAGCCATATACTGTATTTCCGTGTATTTCACTTCAGCTATTTCCCATTCTTCAAGCTAAATATAATGACATTGGTGGTAATGTAAGACCTTTTAACAGCACTGTATACTAAGAATAATCTTTCTTTAAAAGGCATAACACTGCTCGTTACTGACCTTTCATCATTGATCTCAACATAATCATGGCCGCAACCTTCAGTTTTATTTCCCAGCGAGAACTTGTTGAACAGAACCTTCAGAAATTTGTTGTTTGCAACCTGAAAAACAAAGTAAAAAACAAATGAAACAAATAAAACAGGAGTGTAAAATATTCAAAACATGATCAACTAATAAAAATAAGTCCAATAAATAGATTTTCTGATTTGTGCTTTTAATAAATTTAAAATGAGCAATGATGGAAAAATGTCATTGTCGTCATCATCATCATCTATGGGGTTTATCTTTCTAAATGATAATTATATTGTTTTGCTGAAGACTCGGTTGGTCAGTGTAAGAGAAAAGTTAGTTTGGTTCTAGGTCAGCTAACTGAAAAGCGTCATTTCAGTGGAGGGAATGAAATTCAGTTTGTGTTCAGGTTGGCAGTGAAACATTTGCACTTGGAGGCAGAATTTAAAGTTGCATACAATCACTAAATGTCCTGCAAATTATTAATTAAACAATAATCAAGCCAAAATGCAAGAGTGCATAGAAAAATAAGTACACTCCTATTAAGAGAGTGAGTACTCGAGTAATTGAGCATCATGCAGAGTGAGCGCCTCTATAAAAACAGGTGTTTTGGCAGTTTGCTGGTCTTTGCTGGTTGTTCAGGTGTCTGTTACCATGAGTCTGCTGGAGTGCGGTTGTGGGAACAAATAGGATGCTGTGCAGAAGCCTCAGTAAAATGAAGGCTCACCTCGATGTTCCACACACATGTGGTGCGAGGAGGGTAGTTGGACGGGAAGAACGGTGAAGAGATGGAGCCTTTCTCGCCAGTCAACGTGCCGCCACAGTCTGAGGGACGCACAGTTCATACTGACATGTTAGATCATCTACAAAGACTTTAGCTGCAGAATTAATAAAGTTTATGCCGAGATAGCATCCTTTAGATCTGACCTTTAACACAATTACTATTATTATTATGTACTGATTGAAAAATTATTACTGTAATCTCTGGGCTGGAAACATTAGGCAGTCTTAAGATTTCTGCTGCTGTTGCGTTTTTTTCCCAACACACATTTAAGTCACACATTTCAAGTCTTTCATGCCCAGTGGAAATATTTCACAAAGAGCTGACAGCTGTTCAGAAGAGGTTTGATTTACTTAGTGTAGTCTGAGGAATCGGAGAGTAGTTTGCTCTGAAGCCGGGGAAGTTTTTCTCCTCATTAGTGACCAGCATCAGCAGCATGACGTTTCCAGAGGAGATGAAGGACAGCGGCTGGTGAGGGTATCCACACTGTCTGAGCGGACAAGGGAGAGACAGAAAGAAACCTTTAGTGCTCCTGGGGCCGGGTGCATAACGCATGTGTCGGCACAAAACCGTTTTAATGCCTTTTCCCCAACACAAACTGGTGTTGTACGAGGCATGCCCTCTCCCTCCTCTGCGTATGCCTGACATGTCCCTCTGATTTCCTCATTCTGTATCCTGTCCAATGATGGTCACTCTGAAACAACTAAATATATATCTCCACATCTTTACATTCGTTCCATAGTCTCTGCCAATTTTTTAACCTGAGCCAGTGTTTCAGGGTAAACAATATTCAGGAACCTGGTTACTTTAGTCTGAACATCCCTTTGTGTTAAAAATGAGCAGCTATTAAAACACAGAATAAGAATATCAGCCTGTTTTGTCTTGTTTTCTCTGAGATAGCTGACACTTTAAATTCTAGGAAGAGATCGTTCGTCTCACTCTGTCATAGCGCGTTTCTCTATGGGGACAAGCGAGTCGTAGATTTTGATGAAGTCTCGCTGACAGTCGTCCTCCAGGATCAAGTCATCAAAGTCGAGCTGGATTCGGTGTTCCGGGTCTGCCCGAAACTTCCACTGCAGGTAGGCGTTTGAAGGGTACGGAGAGTTTGGAAATCCCGGAGACTCAACGTGCCCGGAGTTTTCGATGTGGACGTCGATGCTTTTCCTCTCTGAAAATATGACGAGAAGAACATGTTTTGGATAAAGTATACCAGTTGTGAAACAAGCAACTTTAATTTTTTTGGAACATTTTAACAAGTCAAACTTTACATAGAGAATTACAGAAAGAAAAAGAAGTTCCCACCACGAAACTGGTTTATACCTGAAAACTTGGTTTTGGTCAAGCGTGGATCTATAGCTGCAAACACAAAGATAAATGTGTTAGTAAACCACATATCAGTTCCTCATTACTAATTAAAACAACAATAATCATTTTTGCATTTGTGAATAAACTTTACTCGATATTTTTAACAAAACCTTGGTGGAAGAATTCAGAGCAGATGTAGCGTCAATATTTGAGAACAGACGTATCGTAGTGGGACGTCTTGATGTCTGTCGTCATTGGAAACGAAAGCTTACATCTTAGTTTTACTGTACAAGCAGCAGTGCTGCAGCTTTTTGATCATTTGTGAATCGCAGTGAGACACAAGCAACCTTCTGTCTGCCACCAAATGTTATAGTTATGATTATACATATACACCAGGACTATGACTCTTACTACATATAACTATATATCCTCCAAGGGTTCATGCAGTTTCACCACTTTAGGAATCTATTCACTCCTCAGTCTTTAACAGTGTCCAGCATCATGTTTGTATGAGACAAAGAAGCTTCTAGAAGATGTTTCCCCATAAGAAAAGATAAGAGCTGAGTTAAAGAATCCATTAACCATTAGAAGAAGAACCATTCATCATTAAAATGTCTGCATGTAAGTTAAATACGCTTGAATTTTTCCAAGAGTTGTCAAAGACAGCACAGTGCTCCAGGTTTAAAAGGTCATATCAGAGCGTAGATTTTACTTTTCAGTGCAGGCAGATGAAGAACAGACATATGGAGAACAGCTGGTGGTTAAGTGCCCATAGTGAATACAAAGCTAATAATAATTTGATTTTAAAAAAAAAGCTTGAAAATTGTTTTGGATGAACAACCTTGTAGAAAACTAATCTGTGTGAATCTGTGAGCCGTCAAACCTTGTGTCACGATGTCGTTGACACTCAGGGCGTCTGTGGGTTTCAGCAGGAATCGTCCTTTTCCGCCCTCCTGACTTCCTGCTGGAGGCTGCATAGAGTCGATGGCTTCATCCAGCGAGGCTTGCTGGGGTGGGGGGACATCAAACTCTGATTCATAATAAGCCACAATGGTGTTCGACCCTCTGTCGCCCTCACTGCACAACAGGACACACAGAGGATTTGTACAGACTTCATTCAGTGCAACAGAGAAGCAACTGCGCATTACAGCTATGTACCAATCAGCCGCCTCAATACAACAATCAGATTAGTACTGTGTAGGTCCATTTGCTCTCTGAACTACCAGAGCGTGGACTGGACTTATTGCCTTTATTTCTGACCCCTTAAAAGATCTTTATTGATATTCACTTTTCCCGTCACTGGTGATATTGCTGTGGCTGGGTGGTACACGCTGTCTCTTTCACAGTACCTGAAGGCCTGAACGGACGAATGGTTGAAGTATCTGTCCAGCAATGAGTTTTTGGAGTACATCAGTTTGAGCTGAAGAGAAAAAGGTCACATTATGGCACCTATTACCTTTATGGCCTCAACAAATAGAGAAACACGTGACAGAGGAAGACACAGAGCAGAAGTGGTTAGAAGTAACATCAAGGTTACAACTCAGACTCGCAGCACACGATCATGTAGTGACGCAGAGTGTGCTGTAATGGATTTTGGGGAAGTAGGTCCTATTAAAAGGCCTGAAAAGATTAGTCTCACTGGAAGTGTAGGAGTGCTATCACCTCTGCCTACTGATAGTGCTGATAGTTGTTGGAGGGTTCTATGTTAGAAATTTGTGTTTCTAAGTTGAGGGTGTAATGGATGCTGGTGAATGAA